ACAGAAGTTCAGGTGCAGTCTCACCAGTGCCGACTACAGGGGAACAATCACTTCCTCAGTCCTGCTGGCCACACTGTTCCTGGTGCAGGCCAGGATACCATTGGCCTTGGCCACTTAGGCACGCTGCTGGCTCATATTCGGCCAGCTGTCAACCAATACCCCCGAGTACTTTTTTTTCTGTATGGTGTTCAGGCCACCTTTATTTTAGAATTCAGACTAGCAGCTACAACATTTCCAAAGGTACCTTTCTGTACAAAACAAAAAGATGTTTTTATCTTGGCCAAAATACAGTGTGTGGTAGAGGTTGTGATTGATCTGTGTAAATACATAATGGTGGGAACAAAGAACAGGAATTTGAATCAGTGGTTTTAGCTCAAATAGGTTAAAACTGGACAAGGAAAACACAATGCAAATTGGAAGGACGTTGTTACTGTGATTTCTGTATTCCAACCCTCTGGTTTTAGGGAGATAAAATAGTAATATGAATAACTCTGGAGGCTTTCTGTGGTACAGGTTAGAACCCTAGGCACCAAATAAATGCAGCACTGAATAGCTACTTAAATTTGAGAGCATTTTCACCATGGTATGTTCCATTTAGAGCAATATTTTATTTGTTTTACAAGTACCCAAACTATAAGATTATTTTTTAAAATACTATGCAGTCATAAGAATAGATGTTCAGAAAAAAAATCTTCCATCATAATGTGTATTTTGCACCAAAAATCTGTGAAACCCAGAATTTAATACAGAGCAGCATGTTATGGTTTAATCATTGTAACTTCCGCGTACTGTTTAATAATATAATATTGGGGATATGACAGTATAAGGCTCTTCAAACCCTGGAGCCTGATAGTTGTCACAGTAAATTTAGAACTTGATCAATGTAATTTTAACTACTTTCCTGTTACTTTGGAGCAGATTATTCCTTTCCAGTGTCTTAACATATTGCCTTGCATTTCTTTTGCATTATAGCAAATTCTTTTTAAATAAGCATATTTTATTCTTGTATTAAAGTAGGGGGAATGTTTATGATAATAAACTTCATACAGTCACAGGGACAGGTATTCAGCCTCATATTTTTAAAAACATGTACTGTGTTCTTAGATTAGGTTTTGACATTTATTTTGATTACAGTGGAAAGCTGAGATATAACTAGACATCCATTCTGCAAGCTAAGAGCTGCAACAGGTGATTTGTAGTTGAGAGGTGATCTGGAAGATAGCCACTTAGTGTAATACTCAGTAACATTGATCAAAAAAGTGTGAAATGTGGAAAAGAGTCTGAATTGTTTAAATGTACCAGAAAATGGAAGAGATCTAGATGGTGAAACTTAATTGTTTGTTTATGGCAGTTTACAGGCTCTGTTTTATGAACTAATTTCTGTTTTATGAACTATTGTCTGTTCTTCCATTGATGAATTTCGGATTGAAAACCTAAAAGCAAATGTGATTACAACTTGAATTCTCACTTACATTCTTGAACAGTGCATAGTGCACCTTCCCTAATCAAATACGTTTGTTCATTATAATATCCCATCTGAACGTTGCCCTTTGCTGAACAGACATTTTTGGAGGAACTCACAATGCATGTTCCATCTATCTGCTTTTCCCTCTTCCATTCAGGAATAACCTCACCTCAATCCTATTTGCTGTCCACCACTGCGATATTTTCAACAACTTTATAATTGGAAGATCTGGTTTTGTCCTATCTGAATGTTGAATGTAGCAGGGAGAAGTTCAGCACATGACTCTGGGTGTACTGGCTCACAGTTTCATTACCAATCCATGGTATTCTCTTGAGCCCTGATAATGTGCCCAGCTGTTGTTTAAATACTTGATGAATATCTGGACCAGAATGGAGCCTTAGAGCATTTGCTGCAGCAATGATTCATTTTTCTAGCATAGCCTGTTCTGACAGTGTTACACTGACACCATCTCTAAAGTTTTATAATATGTTCTGCAAAACCAAATTAATTCAGCGAACTGTTTGCGGGATAGGTGTAACTATAGCTGTAACTCCTTTGAAATCCATGTTATTGGGATGAGAAAAGAAATGGATCCTAGACTTTTAAGCTGTGTCTCACAGGCTGGGATGGGATGAAGAAAAGAATGAAGAAATTACTTCGTTGGAGACTGATCACAGCCACCCACAGCTCCCTGCATATTCTGAGAAATGGGATAATAGAGCCCAGCATTAAAAGGTGTTTTGGGGGTAATTGAAATGCTGATGTGGAATTTGGTCTACAGTCAAAACAGTTGATTGTGATGGAGATGTAAGTTTTATACCTGGGAAGGACAGTCCAGATAGTCATCTGTAAATTGACACAACTGTCCAGTGGGGACTGGACACCTAAGGTAGAAGCCTGGAACTAGCATTGAGGATGATGGTGAGGTTTGTCCAACACTAATTTCTTAAGAGGTTGCTGTGGGGGTATGTGAGCATTATCTTTTATGTAAATGAATATAGAAAGCCAATTTGGCAACAGATCAGAAGAGGTAAACAGCAGATGTGGCTTCTGAACTGTGTCCCTATTCTTTACCTGATTTGAGTATTTTAATAGGAAGCAGTAGCTATTAATGTAGGTGCTCTCTGTGAAAGAAGGCAAGATGATTCATTGCCATGATGTTTGCAAAAGTCACACATTATTGCGTGTTCATGTGTATGGTACTGTATAAAAGCTGCAAGTGAGGACGTTCTTTTTCTGAATGATTACTATGAAGTGTTGCAATGCCAGGAGTCATTTTGGGATATGCTAATTTTCTGCTGTCCTGGTCTGAAGGGCTTTGACACCCTAGCAAGGGTGGAAAGATTTAACCAGCCACAGGCAAATGCAGGGCAAGAGGTGCTCATTCAGAAACCTGAAGACTTACCTAGTTGCCTCTTAACCAGATTTACATTTAAAAAGCCAAACAGCCTTTTCATTGTTGCTTATTATGGACTGTATAATAATTGAAAAACTGAAGGTTAAATGTCACCATCAGGCTGATGTGTCTAAGTAGGCAGAATGTCCCTAATTTGAACAGCAAAATATAGGAATAATCTCAAACCTATTTGGATATTGGCTAAAAGTGTTCTTTTGAGAATTCATAGATTGAGGTTTTTTTTCTTTTTTTTCATTAAGAAGTGGGGAGGGGTGGCTGCTAGAAGATGAGGTACCTTAACTTCAAGTATTTGGAGAGAAATTGAGCTTTTATTTAAATTGATAGGAAAATACAGCTCAATTTATCGTGAAGAGAAATCTTTGCAATAAAACAAATGTATCAGTAGCACTGTGAGGTTTAGAAAAGGCCAAACCATCATCAGAGGAGCAGGGAGGTGCAGTTTGTCCATTACTACATGTGTGGTCAATGGGCTTGCCACTCATAAAACACAGTTCCCTTTTACTTAGTTTTACGTGCTCTATACAAAAGGAGTGTGCATCTGAGTTGAGGAAGAGCTGTATGCTCATGATTTTTATTCATGGCCTGGGATTTTGGTAGTTAAAGGTGTGGAGGATGTACATACCCTTCATGTTCTGCAATTTGCAGCTGTAATTTCCTGTGTTATGTGCATGATGACAAAAGGTTCTGAAATGTGCATTGAAAATTCTCTCAGTATGTTCCCCTTGTTCTTTGTGCCCCAAGCACTGCTCTCAGTTGGTTAAATGCATGTATTGGAATAACTTCACAAACAGCAGCCTCTCTAGAGCATCTATTGCACCTCTTCATTAATGTGAGCCTGAATGGTACTATGGAAAATGTACCCTTCTAAGGCTGATTTTACTGATACTTTATTTTCTTATTTTATAGTGAGCAAGTCTTCTAGATTAACAACAATTGTTCAGAAGTAAAAACATAAATAGTTTTTTGTCTCTCTTAGGTATATCAAGGGCAAATGCCAGGTACTCCTAAGAGCCTGCTAATGTGGTAACTTCAGCAAGTATTTGGTTGTTAAAGGTAACTGGGTTTAAAAAAAAAAGCCTACCCTCTCACCACTCATTACAACCATTCTGTAATTTGCATTTTGTAGCTTGCATATTGCACTTCTTGGTAATGTATATAAATATGGTGATTATGTAACGTAAGTGATGTATGATATAATATTTAAAGTGTTCAAGGTAAGGTTGCATGAGGCTTTCAGCAACCTGTGAAAAGTGTCCCTATCTGTGGTGGGGGGCTGATCTAGGTCATCTTCCAACCCAAACTGTTATATGATTCTATGAAAAGAAAAAAAAAGCAGGAGGGGGAGGGGTGGAAAAGAGGTGGACTGCTACTAAGTAGTGTTTAGTAAAATGCAGAAAAAGTCTTGTTAAAGAGACAGAAACATAAAGGAGACGGTGAAAGAATTTGTGCTGCAGCACATTGAAGTTTGACAAAAGGGAAAAAAATTATATTTCATTGCTGTTTAGCAGTTATTCTTTTCCTGCCAGAAGGTGAAAAGATAAGGTAGGCATGTTCAGAATTGCCTTTATTACAGGAGACCATCTATATCTCATCAGCAGATGTAGGCTCACAGTAGAGGATAGTGGCTTCAGTCAGTCACGTTGTGTTAGCTTGGACTCTGATTCTAGGGAATGGTCTTATGGTGTGGTTACAGTGATTTATTGGCTTGCTCTTTCCTTTAACCCACCAGTGGCATGTAATTTCTTGCCTGACCCTGGAGTTAGGCAGTACAAAGGAGCAGAAAAGTAGTTGTTTCCCTACTCAGATTTAGTTTCCTAAACTAGTTGGTGAAGCCCAGCAAGTGGCAACTTGTGGCTGATAATGCAAGCTTGTGTTTGGCAATAGCTTAGCTTTATAGTGACAATAACTTGTACATTCCATGTGATGGTGGGACAGAATTTTGTTGGTGCTCAGACACTCTGTGTGGCTGCTGGCAAGCTTATGCCAACAGAGGTACATCTGTGTAAAAACTTCAAGTTCCATGTGCTTTCCCAACAGGTAGCCCTTAGGTTTGTGAATATGAAGGATGAATTAGGTGTTGAAAGGAGTTGAAATCTCAATTGCTGTAGGAACGAGAAAAAATGTTGTGTCAGCCTTTAAACAGTATCTGTATTTTATGCCAGGTTCAGTCCAAAATCACTTGTACCTGAGGAAGAGTGACTTTTCTGAGAAGGTACATCTGTGCACAGCTACTTCTAAAGAGATTTTTTTTTTTTTCCCCAAGGTCCTTTCTGGTGATTATAGCTTAAAAAACCCAAACATTTAAAAAAAACCATTACCACCATCAACAAACTGAAGGCTTGTCTATTCTGACACAAGTGATCTAAGATTACTTGAGTAGTCATTAGTGATTACATTACCCCTATGATCAATATAATGACCTTCCAAAGATACCAAGAGTTTTTACCAGCATGTCTTTAAGTGTTTGTCACCAGAACAACTACTTACAGCATATGGCTCTGTAAATGTCATGGTCCTGTTCCTCAGGATGGCCTGTAATTCTAAGGTACTTATTATAAGAACAATATTGGTGTCCCTTTTTCTTGTTCTGACACTTGCTCATTTGGGACACCAGATGTGTGATCACCTAATAATTTTCTACCAAACTTCTTGGAGTGTACCTGGAATTTTCAGGACTGTCAAAAAAGAGGATTGGGTGAATTTTCTGACTAGGGAACTTATCAACAACTACTTTTTTAGCTGTTGATAGAGTAATGACAAAAGGAAAATGACAATAGACTAATGACAAAAAGGAAAAATGTTCCAAAATCTACTTTTAAGTTTTGCTTTAAGTTTCTGTGCAGTGGCCTGTGTCTTGTAAAACTCAATACCTAAGGAAATGGCAAGTGTAATAATTTGTAAGTTTTTTCATTTGCAAACTATGTTATGTCATAACGTGCTGTGCAAACTCCATGGCATACTAATGATGCAAAGTGTCCGGTATTAATGTGAGCTTTGTTCAGATTTTACAAAAGGCCATACTGTACTTTCAGAATGGACAGATGTGATTTGAATTATTTTGAACTGGGAGAAGTGAACTGTGAAAGGGTTGGTGCCAGGCTGTTCTCAGGTGTTTCAGAAGAGATGCAGAAATAGTAAAGACCTTACATTTGATTTGGTTTCAAAGCTTTCATTTACTGTGCTGGTTGTGTGTTGGAATTTTGAGAAAATCTTTGTTGATCGGAATGTTTGAATTTTTTTTATTCTCTACCTCACAACAGCTCTCAGAGCTTGCATGTAGTTCCAGGCTGATAATTGAGGTTTTGTGTTTTAGAACTCTTAGTTTGATTATGATCCTGGAAACTCTTTCTAGGAAACACTGATAGTAATTTAGTAGTCATGGTATAGATACAATCATAGAATCTTGCTGTGGTAATACTTCTACAGCTTTTACATTTCCCTCAAGCAGAACACAATTTACATAAATAGATTAATTGTTAAATAGACAATGTTAGCTGTGAACAGTAGATTTTAGCCACAATTGAGAAAGCTTATTGAATTCTGCTATCATAGTTACATTTTAGTAATACTTAAATGTGATTTTTCTTTATCTTCCTAGATTTTTTAAAAATTAACTGTTTATTACACACTGATGTAACACACAGGGCATGTTTTCTGGCTTATTAAAAAGTACTTATGGATTTTAGTGGGTTTTTTGTTTGTTTTTTGGGAAGGGCGTTGGTGATTTAAATATCTTGGTACATGCATCTCTTCTTCCTATTGTTCCTGAATTTGAGGCTTTTGGACTTCATTAATTTTAGTGTTCAACCTATACAGTTACCATACCATATAGCTTACCATTTAGCCATACTTATAAGATACTGGACACTTTTTCATTACCTCTATTTCCCTGGCTCTAGTGGAGGTATGCAAAATGTACTGATTTGAGAACTCCTCTGTGGGTATGGGTATTGTTACCTAGCTTTGACAGTAAAGGTGCATGCATTTATTGTAAAGAGGCAATGGTTGCACTTTCCTTTGCTTCAACTGCAAACAGTTGATTGATTGTCAGTCCTTTCACGATTAAACTAGCTCATGCTGTTCCTCAGTGGTATTAGGCTAGTCTGCTGTAACTCAGAAAGCTGAACAGCCTCTGATAATAGAATAAAACGATGTTTGACTTTTAAAATATTTTCTTTTTTGGTAATGCAGTGCTCTTTCTATTTAAGATACTTCTTTTCCTAAGTTAGTTAAAGGTACACAGATGGAGATAAGCTTTTGCTGTCTGAACCTGTACTAAGAGTACTTTGTTATTATAGATCAAGGTATCAGCAGCTCACTTCTGCTGTGGACACTGTTCTTGCCTGCATGACGTCCTGCTTAGAGACTTTTCCATTGTTACTTGGGAACTAGCAGCTCTTTATATCCATACAACTGCAGATAAATATATTAGATCTGACTTGTGTGTTAATGAGGTGTTTTGTGACTCATCTGTTTACCTCAATTACAGGAAAAATTTTTTTCATCTTACGGGGAGGGAGACTTTGGCTTGAATTTTGTAGTGCATATTGGGCTGTCAAGTGTGGGTTAGGTTGGGTGTTCCTCTTGCTAGCTTGTATGCCGAAGCAACTCTGATAAAAGAAGCATCTTTGTTATTACATAGGGTGCATAATATTCTGACCACTGTCTGTACAGGCATGCTTTAGGTCTCACTAAATTGCTGAGCAGTTTTTACCAAGTGTCAGAAGAGTAAAGCTGACCAAGTTTTTGTAGATTTGACTGTGTTCCACTTGATGATAACCATATAACTAGTAAGGCTGTAATCAGTTTTCAGTTGTAGGTCCATTAGAGTTACCAGTAAAGGCTTTCAACTAGTATTCAAGTCACAACTGCATTCACAAATAATATTTAAAAAAAAAAAACAACAAAAACCAAAAAACCAAAAAAACCCCCAAAAAACCCCCACACCAAACAAACACCCCAAAACACTCTACCTATATTTCAGTGTCATTCTGGCATAAGGCAGGGAAAGACTACTGCAAATAGTTAACTACTGTAAATAATTGTCCCTTGAAGTCAGTGATGTTACAGAATACACTTACTTGTTCTTCTACCAGCTCCTGTTTCATAATTTATCCTCTTAAGGAAATTTCTGTCTTCAGAAATGCTTTTTTGATGTGCTGTGTAGATGTGGTTTTGTCTGTTTCACTTTATAGGCCACTCTTGTTAATGTCTTAATTTTCTAGGTATGGAATCCGCCCTGAAAATGTGATTATATATGGGCAGAGTATAGGAACAGTACCATCTGTGGATCTTGCTGCTAGGTATGAAAGTGCTGCTGTAATTCTTCATTCTCCACTGACCTCAGGAATGCGAGTGGCTTTTCCTGATACAAAGAAGACCTATTGCTTTGATGCATTCCCAAAGTAAGTTGTAGGTTGTGTTGGGTGGTTTGGGTTTTTTTTAAATTTATTTATTCTGCATGCATTTTTTCTACTACAGACGTTTATGCTCAAGGAAATAAGTAATATGGGATATTCTCTGAAATTTCTTTCAAAAATTTAAAAAAACAGTTGGAGAAAAATCAGAGTGAATAACAAGAGAAACATTTGGTTTGAAGGAGTTTACGGAACTTTGTAAATCTTCTTGGCTTTTCACATCTCTAATCGTTTTATTTGGTATCTGTTGAAGAAGTGATTAGTTTTTCTATACATAAACCCCAATTCTAACAAGCATTTCTAATCCAGTGAATTGTTAATCCTGGGAGCTATGAACAAAGCCTTTTGCGTATGTTTCTGTAAGTACCAAAGACTAGTAAACTAGACCTTAACTGAAGAAAATTCCTGTCATTTATTTCAGAACTATGCCACTAGTTGGCCATTATACACTGGTACATTTGTCTCAAAGAATTACTTGTGTTTTGAGCACTTAACTTCAGACTTTTTTTTTCCCTCATATAAGATCAAATTTGTAAATGCTAAAATTCTTTCACTTCTGAGAAGCACTTTTTAACTGAAAACCTCTGAAGTAGTATTTTCATTGGTCTAGTGGCTTTGATCTTTTGAAGTGAACGTGGTAATGAACACCACTTTCAGATAGATTACTCTGTTATTTGATCCTAATAGTTTCCTGTAGTAGTGTTCTGTGTGTCTACATGTGCTGCTGTAATGGCTTCCAGGGTGTTGATAAGGTCTAACCTTCTGACTTTTAAACAACTTCAGAATTAAATTGTTAAACCTATAATGTGTAATTAAAAAGTGAAATTAATAGCTTGGTCTTTCAAAAAGACTTAATAAAGCTCACTGTGTTCATAGTTGGGTTTTTTTATTATTTTTACAGCATTGACAAGATTTCTAAAATAACATCTCCTGTGTTAATAATCCATGGGACTGAAGATGAAGTAATTGACTTTTCACATGGCCTAGCATTATTTGAGCGTTGCCAGAGACCTGTAGAACCACTGTGGGTAGAAGGAGCAGGCCATAATGATGTGGAACTCTATGGACAGTACCTTGAAAGATTAAAACAGTTTGTGTCACAGGAACTGGTGAACTTGTAATTTTCTTTGTATATTTACCTGCTTTTTCATTTCACTGCAGAACTGTACACCTTGTTAAATACATAACAAAACCAGAAAGTTGTGTTTTCAAATCATCTTTGTTGCCTTCATTAAATGTACAGGTAATGATTTGTCAACATAATTAATGAAGGTTTTAATGCCAGTATTATAAACTGGAATTACATGATCATGCAGTCAAGACTGGCAGTTCATTTTGCTTTGTGTGAGGATTTTTCTTCTTGGATGTCAGGAAAAAAAAGTCACAAGGAGTACTGTATGAAATTTTAATTATATATAATCGAATGCTGTAAAAGTGTTGCCAAATGTTTTAGTATATTGAGACCAAGTTAATAAATATTTTTAAACATCTTAATGTACTGTGACTTACTGTTGCACAGGTGTAAATTAAAAAACAGACTTCTAAGCAGTTGTTCTGTAAAAATATAATAGCCATGAAATTTGGTCAAATACTAATGTATGTACTGAGAATAGACAGTCACTGGAAATGAACCATGCCCTGTTATAGGGGGAGGGGTCAAAATTGATCTATTTCTGTATTTTTTGTGCTTAGCTTTATTTTAGTTGTTTCGTTATTGTGTTGTCTCTTACCTTTCAGGTTAAACAAATTTACTCAGTCATCTTTTCAGCAGTCCTAATCTTGCCAAAATAATTCTGCAAGCTGTCATTGTTGTAACAGAAATACACTTCACATGGTGGTACTGAGGCTACTAAGCACTTCACTGAAACCAGGAAGACTTTTAGAACCCAGAAAGCTTTGTGGACAACACGATTTTAAACACTGACTATATAGAGATGCAGTATTTCATTGGAAAGAATCTGGAAGTTCATCCAACTGTTACAAACAATTTGCTTCTGATCAGGCTTACTTTTGGATGTTTAGTGCAAAAGCTTGTTGGGTTTTGAGTATTGTATGGAAATTTTACTAATCACACCTGAGTGGGGTGGGGGAAGGGTCAAGTAAATAATGTTGACATTTTTTTATGAACTCATGGTGAAATAAACTCCAAGTTGCCTTTCCCTTGAACGTGTTTTGCTTGAATAAAACTATGAAAAAAGAAACTTCTTATATGTAACCTATTTGTAAACAAAGTAATAGTCCAACAAGACACACTCTGCTTCTAATTTTAAGGCCTTATGTAGTTAAATTGTTCTATGTGTTTTCTGTGATTGAGACCTATTGTATACTTAAATATAACTTAAAATATTGTGAAAACTTTGGTTAAGATGTGTTGATTACCAGTAAAAAAATGTTCCAAACACTTGCTGTTCTTCTTTTCCTTTCTTTTTTTGAAAAAGAAGAAATAACAGTTGCTTGTGATATTAAAATAATAAGCAACTCCTCATTTACTCTAGGAAATATGAGAACTAAAGCAGTAACTCATTGTTATGATTTGTCAGCACATTTCTTTATCAACAACTACAGCTGTAATCACCTTCCCACCCCCATGCCTTATCTTCTTTCTGCTGTTTAGCATACAGGTTTTCTGCTGCGGAGCTACTTACAAACATTCTTCTGTAATGAATTCAAATTTTGCTTTCTTTGAAACCATCAGTGACTTGTCTTGTGCTTTTTGGGTTGTTAATTGAATAGAAATAAATCTGAATTTGTTCTACAGCAATGGGGTTCTTGACTTGTTTTGATCAAGTATGCGTCAATGTGTTCTGAACTTCAGATTAATATTCAGGCACAATAATACTAGATTTAAAGATTTTCATCCTAATCCAAGATACTGCAATTGGAAGTGTGTTTAAATAGCTGTATAACTTGTCTTTATTACTAATACTGTATACACAGTTTGATTTCATTCTCTTATTACATTCCAGCTGCTATCTCCAATGTAGATGCAAGGTGTTACCATTAAGTGTTTCAGTGCTTTCTTTGTGATGAAGTCCATTTTGAGAGCCCTCTTCAGAAATTCACAAATAAAGAATGTAGATCTTTATTGCCTGGAGAAGATTCACTGCTCAC